TCTATTGGGGTCCCACCCCAATGGTCCAACACTTACGGAAAAGATACATCTTTGGACAAGCGGTAGGAAAAAACTGACATTTACTACACTTTTCAAAAACAAATGTTAGAGCTGCCAGGCTTATTAAAATACAAGCCTGTGCCCTGGCCGGTGTGGCTCAGTTGGCTGGAGCATCATCCTGTAAGCTGAAAGACTGTGGGTTGGATTCCTAGTCATGGCATACACCTAGATTGTGGGTTCGAGCCCCAGTCATGGTCTATACAGAAGGCAACTGATCAATGTTTCTCTCTCACATCAGTGTTTCTCTCTCCCCCTTCCTCTCTTTCTACATATCCTCCGGTAAGGATAAAAAAACAGCAACAAAAAAACAAGCCTATAAGATGTGAAAATGTCTAGACAAAAGGTCTAGGTGCTTTCTGATAAAAAAAAAAAAATCTAGGCACCAATTAGAGGCTAGAGAAACTACAGAATAAAGTTGGTGAAGCTAATTATCTCAAATTTGGTGGGTAAAAATCTCTTATACAAATGTAGTTTATATTTTTAAGTAAATAAACATTTTAACAAATGTAATTTCTAATTATAAATATTTATGATCTCAAGAATACAAGTCAACATTCCTTGGAACCTTTACAAAAAATCTTTGTGTATCACCAGAAAGCTCTTTGCTCTTTGTAGCAAATAGCCTGAGAAACTCAACTTCATCATAAGAAGCCATGGAATAAGTATAAACTTTATGGTAGCTTATATGTAAATATTCATAATCTTTTTTCTTAGAAGAGATCTGTTTAATTTTGTTCAAATTAATTTTGTTCACATTCCCTATAATTTAGCTGCCGAACCCTTTTTCAGTATCGCTCTTAATATTCCATAGATCTAGTGATACAAACAGCGTATCATCTGGGCTTTTGCTCATAAGCAGGAAGTACAGATGCTTTTAATGGGTCTCTCCCAGTCCCAATCCCCTCTGTGGCTTGCTCCAATAATAATTTGTAGGCAGTGTTGAATTAAAGAACATAGGACTTATAAGTTTTTCTCCTCACTAAAAACCAGAAAGAGAAACAATGAAATGTAAACAGGAACATTAATTATTTTGATCTGGATTATGAAGGGGTCAAGATATTTAAGAGAATGTTTCCAGTTGAGCCTTCCCACCCCACCCCGGAATGTTGGCATTCCTCAGTGTACCTCTCCACACATTCATTCTTTCCCACAGATCCAGAAACTATCCCTGTATGCTGGTGACACCCATATCTCCAACATCAGTCCAGACTTCTCACCTGAGCCTTGGACCTATAGACCCAAGTGCCTACTGGTGACTGGAGGTGATTGGAGGTGGGGGCAACCAATCACCTTATTGTCCCATTTCCAGGTTCTGATTTTAGAGGCATATTTGAACAGGAGCCTTCCATTGCTTCTGCCTGCATCCCTAAGAAAGTCTTATGACAGACTCTGGGAGCAAAACCAGTACCTACCAAGGAAGTATGAAAATCTGGCTGAGATTGATGATTCTTATCCTTTCTGGGAAAATTGGAGTGGTTCTGTGCTTTAAACGCTAACCTAGTTTAGTAGCCATTTTTAAAAAAATGAAGCAGCATAAAGATCAGTGGGGTTTTTTGTGGTTTTTTTTTTTTTTTTTATGAAATGAGAGCATAAACTTTGGGGTCAGAAACTTGAGTTTGCATCCCAGATCCTCGTCTTGTGGCTGGCCTCAATCTCCTCATCTGTAAACTGGGGAGAAAAACACCACTGTTGGGATGTTGTGAGGATTGAGTTAGCATATTAACCAGATCTGAATTTAATGGCCAGATTTAATTTAATTTATCTGTTTGTTGTGAGAATGTATCTTCAAATGAAAATGTTTGTTCAAATGAGAATGTGTATGCAGAAACTATTGGTAAATCAAAAACATTGTACAAGCTATTCACACGCGGGTATGGAGCTCATTGTTTAGGACAGTGATGGCGAACCTTTTGAGCTTGGCGTGTCAGCATTTTGAAAAACCCTAACTTAACTCTGGTGCTGTGTCACATATAGAAATTTTTTGATATTTGCAACCATAGTAAAACAAAGATTTATATTTTTGATATTTATTTTATATATTTAAATGCCATTTAACAAAGAAAAATCAACCAAAAAAATGAGTTCGTGTATCACCTCTGACACGCATGTCATAGGTTCGCTATCACTGGTTTAGGACTTTGACTAGTGAAGGTAGTGGTAAAGTGGTGGTGCAATGGTGTGTGTGTGTGTGTGTGTGTGTGTGTAGAAATGGTTTAATGGGTTCTATGCTGAGCCCCTGGTCTATTGTTTTTGTTATACCTGAGCCACAGCCTTTCCCTCTCTCTTCACTTTACCTTTTCCTAAATCAGTAATCCTTAAACCTGTTGTCCACCTGTGGAGCTCTTTAGGAACTACAAGCCTCATCCCCTGGAGATCCTCATTCAGTAGATCTAAGTCAACCCTAAGTATCTATTAAAAAAAAGGACACACACACACACACACACACACACTCACTCTAGTGGCCCGGTGCACTAATTCGTGCACATTGAAAGGGAATCAATTAGAAGAAATATTTTAATATCGCTATTTGCCAAGTCCTGGTTGCAGGTATCTGGCTCCCTCCTCCCTCCTGTTAGAGTCTGGGCCGGTGCCCACAGGACACAGCGTCAAGTCCTGCTGGCTCTGCGAGACCCAGAGTCAAGTCCCTGGGCCACATGCGCCTCGAAATCGTGTGAGACCCAGACCCACTGGCACCGGTGGGGACGCAGCGTCAAGCCCCCACTGGCGCCATGGGATTCCCCTGATGCATCTCTTGGTCAAATCTCTGCCAGCGCTCGCAGGACGCAGTGTAAAGTCCCTGCCCACCCGCATGCGCCTGCTACACATGCAGCCTCCTGGTGATTGGTCGTTATGGCATGAGGGCCTCACGACCACAGGCTTTTTATAATATAGGATATAATTGATTTCAGAGAGAAAGGAAGAGGGAGAGATAGAAACATCAATGATGAGAGAGGATCATTAATCAGCTGCCTCCTGTATGTCCCACACCGGGGATCAAACCTGGCTGGTGTGGCTCAGTGATTGAGCATGGATCCATGAACCAGGAGGTCACGGTTCGATTTCCAGTCAGGGCACATGCCCACAGTAGGAGGATGTGCAGGAGGCAGCCCATGCAGGAGGCAGCCAATCAATGATTCTCTCTCATCATTGATGTTTCTCTCTCCTTCTCCCTTCCTCTCTGAAATCGATAAAACTATATTTAAACAGAAAAAAGCCAATCTGGGATCCTTTCCATGGACCACAAAACTTCATGTAATCTGGCCCCTGGCTTACTTCACCTCCACTTGCCCATTGGCTTCCACAGCTCTAGCCTCTTTGTTGTCCCCCTCAGAGCCTTTACACACGGTGCTCACTTTGCTGGTTGTTCACTGGACAGGTGCATGGTTTATTCCCCCACATAACCAGGTCTCTAGGCAAAGGTCACCCGCTCAGTGGCCTGTTCTATCTAAAAGAGCCTGTTTCGCACTCCATTTCTTATCCTGCTTTACTTGGTGCATAGCATTCATCACTACTTAGCCTCGTATCCATCTACTGCACTGGGATGCAGAAATGAACAAATGGGCAGAGTCCCTGCATCCCAGTGCCTAGAAAAAAAGTAGCCTGCCAATAAATACAGGGTGTGGCAAATTAGGTTTACAGTTGTTCATATGTAAAATACCTTAATGAATAAATCATACAAGAATAAGCTATTTTGAGCACTTACCATTGTAAACCTACTTTTGCCATACCATGCACCGGTTTGACTGAGTGACTAAACCCTCACCCTTCTTTCCAACAGGAATGCCAAACCTCTCTCACGTTGCTTTGTCTATTTCACTTATCAACCAAGTCTTTGTCCCAGCCTGTGACAGGGCCCCAAGCTTTTCTACAAGGCAGGAATTCCCCCAAAAGATAAATATTGGAGACCCAAAAGGAAAGGAATATCTTCTGAGATTCATACCTTTTCACATAACTAATTCCTTGGGTCCTGGTGACAGTCCTCTGAGGTGAAGTTGCTGTTTCCACATAAAAGGAAACAGGCTTCAAGGAGATCCCACAACCATAGGGAGGAGGTGAGATTTGAACCTGTTTTTTTTTTTAACCTGGGTTTCTTGACTCATAGTTCAAAATGGGGAAAATAAAGTTCCTATTGGCAGCATTGGGATATATGCCTCTGTAGGTAGGGTAGAAAATGGTCTTCTCTTTGTTTTTACCATAAGTGAGACTTTAGGATTGCTAGGAGAGAGAATTTTGGTCTCAACATACCCCCTTTCTAATCTCAACTAAAAGAGTTTTTGTCCAGATGCATTTTGGGACATTTCATTAAGGTTAAGTGGTAAGTGCTTTAGAGGGTAGTTAGAATCCCTTTGCTTTTATTTCGTCATTAGGTCAATATTTGGTCACCAATATTTGGTCAGGTTCTGTTTGCTTGGTTTGAGTTGTTTGGGAAAGTCTTTCAATTCCACTTAATTCCTGGAACAATGGTATAACTGGTGTGGTTTAAATATTTAATCTCTCATCACAGTCAACCAGATACAGCCGACAGAAAAGAAAAGAAAAGAATATCTAGAAAAGAATATCTTTTCAGTTTACCAAGTGCTTTTGTAAAAAGATTCTCACACCAACTTCATGAGTAATAGGGAATCTAAGCATTGGGCACAGTGGCATGGGGGAGAATGTCTCAAGAAATGAAGTGAAGTTTTAATATGTGAATAAACGATGCACAGAGGAATTAACTGCCCATTTAATTGAATTTTTATGGGAGTCCGATAATGAAACTAAATGCAGACTGAGAAGATTATGCTGTTTGAAGTGATAACTAGGATTTGTGTGTGTTTTGTATGTGTGAATGTGTCCTATATGGTGACTTAGGAAAATAAATGCATAGAAAAACACCTTTAAATAAATAGGACTAATTTTCATTTGATGAGATTCTAAAAATGTTCTTTAAATTTTTATAGATGTACATCCAAGGAAAATTACTATTTGCCAACTTTATTTTCAATGGTTACAGCACATCTGCTAAAGACCTCCAGAAGCAAATTGTGAAGACAAGGGGTGATTATCATATGGGATATTTCCTACCCAGTGACTTCAGAATCCGGTAGAGTAACTACGCATGTTCTACCTTATCTTATACTTTTAATGAGTAAATCCCAGACAAGGGCTAAATGGGATTTACTTTTGCCTTTATGAGTGATTTTTCTTTACCTCAAACTTACTTTTGCCTTTATAAGTATTTATCCCTTGCCTCAAATCTTTTCTGGAAAGAGGTAGCTTATTTATTTAAAAGTTCAGTTCAAGGAAACCACTTTCTTATTAACCAGCAAATGTTCCCAAGACTGTTAAGCTAAGATTAGAAGGAGTCAAACCAATAATTCCTTCAATTGCATAGCACAGAGTATGACTTTATGGATGTTAACTTTCTTCTTCATTCTATATGTCTTTTCTGTCAGGGAGGTCATCTAAGTTAACAAATATAACACAACTAGAGGCCCAGTGCATGGGTGGGGTCCCCACAATGAGAATGTACCCAATGGCTGACAGACACTCTAAAGCATCGGTTCTCAACCTGTGGGTCGCGACTCCTTTGGGGGTTGAACGACCCTTTCACAGGGGTCGCCTAAGACCATCGGAAAACACATATATAATTACATATTGTTTTTGTGATTAATCACTATGCTTTAATTATGTTAAATTTGTAACAATGAAAATACATCCTGCATATCAGATATTTACATTACGATTCATAACAGTAGCAAAATTAGTTATGAAGTAGCAACGAAAATAATCTTATGGTTGGGGGGCACCACAACATGAGGAACTGTATTAAAGGGTCGCGGCATTAGGAAGGTTGAGAACCACTGCTCTAAAGGGTGAAAATGTTGCTTTTAAACTTAATTGGCTGCTTTCACTCTGATAAATTATCATGTGAAGCATGTAAATGACCAAACAAAACTTAGACTAATGAATATAGGGCTTTCTTAGACAACTGCTGTCTTCTATGGGTGTATTAACAAATTCTGAAAAACAGTAATAGAAGAAAAATAGGGACAGAAGAAAGAGAGAAAGAATTTCACCTTTGGCTAATTCATGTTGCAAACACCAGAATAAAAATGGTACACACAAAAAAAGATACAAAGAAGTACAGATTTTATTAGGGTCTTCTTAAGCTTAGGAGGAACAAAAATAATACAGACATATACAAACCTACTATTGGGTTCTTATAAAGTATTTTAAAAGAGCTGACAAAAATGAAATAGAATAAAATACATAAATCTATCAAAGAAAGTATTGTGTTAAAAATTATAATTTCAAGTTTTCAGGAAGGGTGAGTAAAGTAGTTCTATATAAAACATAAGTAGTCAAAAAGTAAAAATTAAAATATCTCTGAAAGAATATTCTCAAATTATATTAAAAGAAAATACCTAACACTCCCAAAGTACATGAAGCGAAGGCCGACTTTAGAAACTTACTGGGTTAACAAGCCTGAACTCTAAGACGGTTCATAACTTTCCCATTTGCAGGGTTCATATTTAACAATGTTAAAAGAGAGAGTGTAAAGGCCCCCACACACTGAGAGCACATTGTACACACACATAAGATGGGTTCACACACTTCTGACTATGTTAAGAAATAAAGTTAAATATGCTCACAGATCCGTGCATTGATACAAGATTACTGATGTTACAATATTTTCGTATTTAGGTGAATACAAAAAGTTATAAATTCTACATGAATCCATATATAAGGCTCACCTATGTAATTATACATAGTTCATTAGATAAAGATGAATGAGAAGAATCGAAGTATAAATTAAAAGTGAATTTATAAGACAGAGCATTTAAATCACATGGATTTAAAAGGAATTAAAATCCAAAGATCATTCCATCCAGTCTGTTTTATCAAAAGAAACATACACATAGTAACATGTATAGTGTTTTGATTTATGCAAACAGGAAAACACTGTGCAAAAAGGAAAACATGAGAAAGAAGAGTGAAAAAAACATATATATACACAATTTACCAGGCAAAAAATAATAGAATTCATGGGATGAAGCATCTCTGTAATGAATGTAGTACAGAACTAATTATAGGGTTGAGTTCATTAGAATGAGTCAGTCCTATTTTAAAGAATAACCATTGACCCAATTTTTCTGATGTGACTGGGCTTGGACGAATAGTACATTTTTTAGCTCCTTTCACATGTGGAGTCCTTGATTAGTTAGCAGTTATTTCAAACAGGGTCTAAACCTATAGAAATGCCAGTATTACCCAAAGTATACATTTTCAATGTGTATCATAACTCTTTGGATTTGGGACCATTTCAATCCTTTTCCAACACCCTGTCCTCCAAATTAAACAAAAATATGTATGTGGCTATAGCAATGTCACAGTTTTGATGTAAGACCATGCAATGAGTCAACAAGGTCAGAATACTTTAAAAATCCAGAGTAGCAGGGAATGAAAAATCAAGGAACATACTATTTGACAAAATACCTTTGTAAAATGTGACGTATTAGCCTATTTCCACTCTATCACCCTAGCTTGTTTTCATCAACAACAGCAGATTCTGCAATGCAACCTACAATGCATCCCACAAGGGATGGTGTGTCTACAAATGATGCTAAGTTTCTTTCCAGATCTGAACCTCAAAAAGCGAGTTTAAAGCAATGTGGTAGATTCAAAAGAGTAAAAGAAAAAGGCAGTCTCCAAAATAAGAGTTTAAAATTACTAGCACTGGAGCCAGAGGCAAAGACCAATCCTTCAGAAACTATGAACAATTAGTTAAATAAGACTGATACTGAGTAGAAACTCTGAGAAAAACAAAAACAAATAATTAACTTGGGAGAGAATGTCTTTTGGTGGCTAAGTTGCTTAACCTAAAAATAGAGATCCAATCCAATAATAAAAGCTACAAGTACAGTTCTCCTCATTGGCAATTATTAACAATATTACATATCACTTTTCTATTGTGACAAATTACTATGTCAATGTCTAGTAATGCTTTATTTTGTTATCCATTCCCATCCCTTTAATTTTAGAAGGATTAACCAATCAATTCTTGCTAAAATGTAGGCACACATACAAAAAAGTGAGTCCTGATGGATGTAGGATGTCTCAGAAACCTCAGGTCATCTTCAGTCTTCATACTCTTGATGGTCCAGGAATGATGCGCGAGTTTAGGTTGGTTCTAGGATAGGCCCAGGGGCCTGGTTTGATCTGGGATCCCTGGGACCATACCTAGAACAAACCCAAACAAAACCAAACTCCTTGGGAGTGCTTTCAGCTCAGACGTCTAGGCTTTTCACTCATGTGGACCTTCAGGGCTGTCTGAGGACCACATGCCAACCTTTTAAGGAACAGTTCTGGGGCTTTCTGCATGTTGCCATTTTTAAAAGCTTTACCACTTTTATTATGTGAATCAGAATGTTACTCCTGTGCCTGAGTGAGCATTACTTAAGTCATAGTATGAATAGAAGGTACTACAGGTTGGTATAAGTGCAGAAAATTCTTTAAGAAATGGAATTAATTTAAAACTTTCTTGGGAGGAAAAGGATATTATAAAAGAATAAACTTATAGTAATATATTTTGAGAAACTTAAGATACAAACATGAGAGGAAATATCTATTTCTACAATAATATTTCATAGAATTTACCCACTTTTAAAGTGCAATTAGAAGTACACACAAGTTAAACACTGTCCTATTGCAATAACATGTTTGATATGTGCCAAATGGAATTCAGTAAATGGGAATGAAAGAAACAAATTTAACTGCTGACAGTTAAAATATAGCATTAAAAATACCATTTGCACTTTAATTCATCTCACATTTTAGGATATTCATAAAATCAACTCATTCATGCTAAGTTTTTGTATATGTGGATTATGTGGATCTTGTATTCATATCCATTTTCTTTTTCTTTTTTTTTGGTTTAAGCAATTACAATGAGTACAATCACTTTTATCCCATAACTATACTTAAGGAGAAATTTTCTCCTTGTACCACCAATCCAAGTTTGGCATCTGACTACCTATTCTGTAATAGCAGTCTCAACTCAAGAAACTGTTTAGATTATCTGTTTTTTAATAACTGTTGTGCCATAATTCCCTTCCAATAGCATGAATGATGGAAAGCTGACTATGGGGCACGACCATAAAATAAGCAGACTGTTTTTAACATATGATTACTAAAACACAATCGGCCTGTTGGTAAAACTAAGTTGTTAGATGCTAGAATACCCCCTTCTAGACAGATTTGAATTTTACTTACAAACATTATAACATGCACATTCATATTTATTTTTCATTCAAGAGAGAAATTATCATGCTTGATTACTTAACACATTAAATAATAATTTAAACATGCAAAATATAGAATGACACTGGGAATTTAGTCATTCAAATATCTGTAAGTATCATTCTAACATTGATAACTTTTGGCAAGATTTTAACATACAATTAATTGTATGAAAATAAAGATATTGTCTTCTGTGATATCAATAATAAAAGTTTTCTTATTTTCCAGGGCTCAACCTACTTCATGTTTTGGAAATGAAGATATACTTCTCTAAAAATAAAAATTAAACAACATTAAAAAAAAAACCTCACCAAAGAAATTCTTAGCAGCATATGATATCCAGATCAAAGAGAAAGTACTGTAGAAAATGGTCATTTGAATGGAGTGGTTTTAATAGGAATAAAAAAATTAGAGGATAAAAATACAGAGAAGGTAAAGTATAAAAACAAAATGGTTCCTTTTGTACAATGAAAGCTCTTCTACTTTGAGAAAAGATACTGACTGTAACTTCACTTATTTTCAGGATAGAAATGAAATAGGTACTAAAGTAATAGATGTTACAAAATTCATGCACTTAGTATAATCCAGTTTTTTGGGTCTTTACTGAGTCAATTTACTCTTACTTCCTACATTATTCTAGCAGTCTTAGCCACCTTGTTTTCAAAACCAAGCAGACTAGAAGGGGAACTATGAGGATGGAAAAAGGCACACTTAAGCAAGCAGTAATATAAACTGGAGAAATTAGAACTATTAGAAAACAAAGACAACAAAATGAAGAAAGCACAGCAGAATGGAGCCATTTGGTAAAGGGTATATAGCTCTCAATGCTTAATTAGTTTATCACAGCATAATTAACTACTGTTAATAATGACCATTTTGACATCAAAAAAGATTAAATAAAATGCATTTCATATATTGTTTAAGAGGATAGCAATGCATATTAAGTTTTAAAGACTCCCTTCAACACTTATTTCAAAAAATTTTAATGCTTAATTTAAGCTCTATAGAAAACTGGGGTATAAAGAATGACTCATTCCCCCAAAATTCAGAAACCCAGTTCACGGGTAATTCTACTAAATTACCCATGCATGTTTAGTCTCAAACCAATAGTTCTAGAATATAAATCTTGATGAACAGAGTTGAAATCACGTTTACAGTGCTGTATGTTTTAAGTCTATACACTATACTAAGAACAACTAAGAACAAAATGTTTAACAGTGTCCTAAAATATACACAATTTATGTGAGGATGTTAGTAAAATTTTCTTTCAGAGCTTAATTCATTAATGGAGAGTCCTAGAAATATCAATATATAAAAATGAATTAATACTTCAAATAAATGGCAATCACATATACAACCAAATGTTTTTAGCAAGTTTAGTAAAGAACTAAGAGGCAAACAAAAGTATGCTAAGTAGCCAAACAGGTTCCATAAAGTCCATGCACGCCACTGACAGAAAAGCCCCTTAGCCTTCTTTCAGTCTACTTACTCTTATTTTAGACACAATTCTAGCAAGCTTGGCAATCTGGTTTCCCAGTCCACAGCAGATTAGAAGCAGCAAATTAGGGGCTAGTGCAGGATGCAGGCACAGAAGACAGGAGCAAAAAGTGACAGCTGATTATACGGGAAAACAGAGAAACTGTGAAAAACAAACATGACTCAAAAGCATAGCAATATAGGACCACACAGGAAAGGGGCATTGTATGTCTCAGGAGCCTCCTGAGGGCGAGTTTCTGATTATCACTCCATAATTGATGTTCTTAAAGATGACAAAAAAAAGTTAAAATTACATACTAAATACTCTAGAAAAAGAGAAGTAGAAAGTACATTGTAGAAAATTTCGCACTGTACTGTTAAAAAAGTTTATTAAATGGATTTGCCTCAGTTACCCAAAAAATTAACTTATACAAGTTAGTTATCATCAATGATTACAGATAAATCAACTGTTACTATACTTAGGGTATTTCCCCATATTATCTCCTCTAAAATATTTATAGCTTCATTTTCTAATATAATGTAAATTGCACAGATATGTTCTTATAAATATAACTGAGAGAATAAATCAACTTTTATGCTTTGTCTAGTTGTCATTCATGGCATGATACCTACTTTAATTCAAATAATGAGTTGGCTGAGCTATACCAATCTTATGGTATTTAGTTCCTGTTTCTTTGTTTTGTTTAGGTATAGAAACAATACACAATGATTAATCCAAATCAACTGAGCCTTCCTTCCCACATGATTTCTCAATAATGTATCAAAATATTTCATATTTTACATTAGTGATAGGGTATAAGTAAGTCACCAGAGTGAAATGACCTCCAAGATCCCTTAACACTTGATTTATAATTTTGTGAAATGTAGATGAACTTGAATCTTTTTATGCTTTAATATTAAAAGCTTTACCACTTTTATTATGTGAATCAGAATTACTATTTTTTAATGAAAATTGAACTTTTAATTTTTGACTTATTTTACAAATATATTTATGACCAGATCTTGTTTTATTTTTAGCCTCAATAGTTTTACTTTTAAATATTTCTGAGAAGTCAGAATCACAAACATCATTTAGCAATCTAGAAGATTTGGGTTTTGCTGGAAAAACTTCCTCTGAAGTTATTAAGTTAGCTGTATCCACAGCTTTTAAATGATGGATCTGTGATTTAAACTCAGGCTTATCCTTCTGCATTAAACACTTAAGCCAATATTCTTAAATTTCCTTACTAATTGGCCTTAAATGTGTTTCTTCTGACCTGCTTGTCTCCCATAACTTCAAACTTGAGTCAATGTATTATTTCCCAATAAAGTATATTCAGATATTGTAAGTACAATTAGACTTTAAAGAAGACTTAACTTATGAAGTCAGATAATAGAGAAAACTTGTGAATATAAGCAGAGGACCACAAATCAAAGACTAGGAAGAGTCTGGCACTAGTCAGACCAGATATGTAGTTTTAATGAAAGCTGAAAAGAAAATAATTTAAGATATAATTGTTACCAGATTATTTATTGCCATGATTTTCCTAACTATAGACAAAGCATAAAAATTCTGTCTTCAAGACTGACTTAAATAGTTTTTTTTAAAACATTCTTGCATTAAATACTAGGTTTAAAACAGACTATGGAAATGTTCGTATTAAAAGCTGTCAGCCCTGGTAAGGTGTGGCTCAGTTGGTTGAGTGCTGTCCCATCCACTGAAAGGTTGCTAGTTTGATTCCAGGTTGCGGGCTCGATCTCCAGTGGGAGGGTGTGAGGGAAGCAGCCGGTGGATCTCTCTCTCTCTCTCTCTCTTTCTCTCTCTCTCTCTGTCTCTCTCTCTCCCCCTCCCTCCCTCTCTCCCTCCCTCCCTCCCTCCCTCCCTCCCTCCCTCTCTCTCCCTTATTCTCTAAAAATCAATGAAAACATATCATATTTAAAAATAGAAAAGATAAAAGCTGTCAGGATATTACTCCTAATAAGAATTATCCTGTCAAAATATTATTGTTAAACTTGGAAAGCACAATTACAAATTTTCCCCACAGGGTTTCTTTTGTATGTGGGTTGGCAGCTATTAAAACTAGTCAAGAGCCTAATAAGACAAAGTGAAATATTCTCAGAAAAGTAACAAACAAGGATATCTACTTATATTACATTGGCTTATTTTACTTCTTCAGGTATTCATTGGAAGGAAGCATAAAGTCTAACATAGAGGCTCTTAGATTTTTACTGGGCATAAACACCACCTACGTCTTATTCCAAAATGACTAAGAATAATTGGGAGGATGGCTCTACGTCTGCATTTGAAAAATAAGACCTCCAATTTATTCTATTATAGGTGCCCCATGAAAAAATGGAGAAACACTGACTTCTAGATTATTATAAGTTAGGAATTTTCACAGGAAAGATAATATTTTATCTTGAAAATATTTTAAAAGATGAAAGAAAATTTGAAAATTACATACACCAAAAAAACATTAAATTAAAACTTTAAGATCCTTATATCATGATTTCACCAAGCAAAATTTTCACTGAACTAATTAATTAGTGAATAAAACAAATCAGACTGGAAAATTACAAATTCTTTTTAAAAAAAAATATATTGTTATTGATTTCAGAGAGGAAGGGAGAGGGAGAGATAGAAACATCAATGATGAGAGAGAATAATTGATTGGCTACCTCCTGCACACCCCTACTGTGGCTTGAGCCCACAACGTAGGCATGTGCCCCTGACTGGAATCAAACCTGGGACCCTTTAGTCCGCAGGTTGACGCTCTATCCAGGGCGAAGGTTACAAATTCTTGATTAAATCAGCCCTTCACATTTAAAAAGTATCACCTTGGAGAGCACTGAATAAAACTGGTAGAATATTATGAAGATATTTTTTCCCACACTGGTGTAATAAAAAACAAAATATAACAAAATTAAAAAGTATTAATCTCGAATTCTTCCTGTGTAAGGTTATAGATTAAGAGAAAGATTATCAAACTTTTCCTTAGTTATTTCTTCTAAATCCAAGGAAAAAAGGAGTTCACAAACTAATTTAAAAAGAAAGTAAACTTGCCCTGGCTGGGCGGCGTAGTTGGTTGAAGCGTTGTCCCATACACTGAAAGGTTGCAGGTTCGATTCCTGGTAAGGGTTTGATCCCTGGTTGGGCACCTATAGGAGGCAGCCAATGGATATTTATCGCTCTCCCACTCCTCTCTCCGCTCTCTCTAAAATCTATGAAGCATATCCTCAGGCTTGGATTAAAAAAAAGAAAGTAAACTCTAAATGTTATTACTATTTCTGAGTTGTAAACTAGGCCTACTCTTAGGAACTGCTCTTAAGAGCTTAATTATGGATGTCACAGAATTTTTGGCAACTGGCAGAATAACGTATAATACAAAGGATCTCTACCATTCAAGTAAAGCAGAAACAAGGTTTTCCTCAGGATAAAAAATAAATTTCTTTAGATTATTGAAAAAAACCCATAAACCCTTTAGTATGAAAATTTACTCTAAGTGCTAAGTTGTAGGAGTCTGCATGTGCTTCTTAACTCTAAAGACAATTTAGATTCATCATGTAATTTTCTTTCTAGGGCAGCAGCATAAATTGAATTATCTCTACATTTTCCCCAAATAACATCTACACACTATGTCAGTGCATGGAAGCTATAGGCTTCAAAACACAATATACTCCTGAAAATATCACTCTTTGAAAATGCAATCATGGCCCTGGCAGGGCAGCTCAGTTGGTTAGAGTATCACCCCGATAAGCCAACGTTGTGGATCTGATCTCCTGTCAGTGCACGTACAAGTATCAACCAGTGAATGCATGAATAAGTGGAACAACAAATCAATGTTTCTCTCTTTCTCTCCCTTCCTCTCTCTCAAATCAATAAAAGTAAATAAATAAATAAAATGCAATCACAACACAAAACAGATGCTACTGTATAATTTGGAA